GTATTTTTCCTCAATTGGTCATAACCTAGCTTCCAAAAGGCAACTTCTTTCTCGAATACTCTAGATTAAAACGAAGAAGACGATTAAGAACGATAAAATAAGCTTTGAAGCACTTTTTTTTCCCTTTGTTCTGTTTGGCCAATCATCACCCATTATTCCATCAGTTGAATGCAAAAAAGGAAGTGCAATGTTATAGACTTGGTTTTAAAGCGATGTTTCAGTTGGTGGTAACAGCGATTATGATCACTGCATTCATAGCAGTTGTAAATGGACACCAGGTAACGATGCTTACGAAAGCAATAAAGACCACACTCATCCATAAGCCTCCGGGGAAGTATGATCCAGAGTTTCTTGCTGTATGGCCTGGTCACATCCGCTAAATGACCTCTCAGCGTCTGACGATGAGCTGGAACTGATATCACTTCCCTTTGGCTTGGGTTAATGGTGTTGTTTTTATAGCTAGGAGTCTTGGGTTGACGATCTGTTACTCGTGTTTTCATCTACTTTGAAGGATAACTCCTTGCGTGCATGTTACTCAACACAGCACAACTGGCGGAAATTAGTGTTCTTACGAGAGTGTTCGTTAATAATGGAAGGATTAACAAAGTCTAACCAAGATATGTTTCTCGGGCTTCTAAGACTGAATTTTATCGACCAATCCGAGTTGAACAGGGAATAATAGCGATTACTAGTTAATCCTTACGCCAACGTACCGAAGTTTCAAGAGAATTTTTGTGGAATGGGACAATTGCATGATGAAGTCATTATACTAAAAGTTTCAGAATCTTTCAGTTTGCTGTTTTCGTGTACAAATTAGGGTTTTTTAAACCTCAGCGGGATCATGTGACAAATTTAAATAAGAAAGCAAAAACGAAATGAAGTCTGGTAGTTGTAGTCAAATGTCGTCCTCGTGAAAATGGCGTATTGGTGATTTTAATTCTGTTCGTATTAACTATCCGTTAACCCTATTCAGACTGGGCTTTATTTTGCTTCATGTAACAGCCGTCATGATTTGGGCACCAAAATTACACAGAATAGTATTAATGTATTCATTATAATCAACGCCTAGGAATAACTTGATTGACACAATGACGTAATTTGACTTCATTATGACGTCATATTGTTTAATTTATTGGCAGAATCATTCTTTACACAGCTATGGAGATACTTCTTGAAGATTGCTCTCTGAAAACTATGGCGACCTTTTATAGAAACAGAATCGAAAACATGAACAATAGACCCCTCCAGGTTTCTTTTTTTTAACTTTTGAGATGGAATAGTCAGGAAAAATCCGTCAAATCCGCTTTTCTCGTGTTCTCCCAACATCCCGCTTGGGTTATCACGCCGGTAAACCCGTAGAAAGTGTGGTCTATTACTTCCATCTCATTCAGTAGACAATGTTCGTATTCCTCGATGGTCCAGAAACGAGTGGGTCTTGAGCATGAATGCGAGGCAAATATTAGGAACTTCTCGCCAAGAAGACATACAAAGATGTGAAAACTGCGGCTGAGTTTGCCGAATTTAAGGACAATTTTTCAACGTTGTAAAGCTCCGGAGGGCCAACATACTTGACAGATCATTATTTCAAACAACAAAATGAAGATCTGCTCATTATCACTGAGAAAAACAGCGATCCTGACCAGATATTGATGGGAAGAGTGCTTGGTGAACGAGTTATAATTAATATTAAAAACGCGAATAATCCCCGAAGCCATTTTGATTATTTCAGTGTCCTTAAAACTTTGCATTTGAAATTTTCTAACGGAGCGGATGTAAAATCTTTGTGTATTTGAAGTAAACCGAACAACTACGTTCGGTGGATAATTACTTATCAGGACGGGGCTTAGCGTTCTGCACGCAGTCCATGCATTTCAGGGAACTTAAATCGGTTTGAACAAAGATGTCTTCAAAAGTAAAGTTTATTTATAATTTTAGGTTATATTATTGTCAAAATCTTTGATCACAACTGTGTGAGAGTACAAAAAGATGCACGCAGTTGAACACAGCGTTTTGTACAGACGATAATATACTGAGTAGTTTAAATTCCATTTTACAGAGATACACACAAGTGAAAAGAAATAATAAGAAGTATTATATTATACAAAAAGGGTTCGAATATTGACGTTTTGACACAATTTACCATTTTCTAGTTAAGATTACTTCTTGTTTCTTCTTTTGGCTTCGTGGCTTTTTTCAATTTTGCTGTTAGTACGACCAGCTCTCACCACAGTTTTGTTTATTGAAACCGGTATCCCTTTAGCTCACTGTTAAGTTTGACCTTTTAAACCTTTGCAGTTTTTTTCTGATTTCTATCGTCTTTCAACGACTCAGCCGCAATTTACTGATGTTTTTTTGTGATTTCGCTAAGAAGTTCCCCGCATTAGCCTCGCAATCATGCTGCGATTTGTGTCTCGTCCCAGGTTGATTGGTAGAGCTGCTACTAGGCTTTATGTTATAGCCCACTAGTAGCGAAAAGCGCTGGCTTTGAAACCAAAACAATGGCGGCTGAATCGCGTTTTGCTAGCTTAAGTTGTTTTGTCTCGAGTCGATATTTTTGACCAACTAGCTGGATTTTACTAAAACAATTATTCCTCTCGCCCTCATGGCCTCTAAGTCAATAGCCCATTCGGCCTTCGGCCTCATGGGCTATAGACTCAGAGCCCATTCGGTTTATTCTTCCTACCACTCGTTTTACGATGTTTTTAGCTTGCTTAGGGCTTTTTTCCGGACATCAGTTGAATAAACGCAGCGCGAAACGGTGCAATTCGTACACAGTAAATAATTGGGTTGACCAACGAGTTCAGAATTGCTGTAGTGAGGCTAGTAGAAAGGGCAACGTATGCTAAATTAACTGAATTGATTAAGGAATATGATATTAGCGATCGCGCTACTATTGAAGGTAAATAACACAATATCAAGAAGAACAGTACTGTTGCTGTCACTTTAAAGGCTTTTCTCTCCTTCAAGAATCTCTCTCTGGCTTCCAACGACACTTGATGGGTTGCGATTTGTTTTTGATGCCGACGTGTTTCGTGATAAAGCAAGACTTGACATAAGACAATTGTGGCCACGCAAAAAATGATCATACCATTGTCAACTGCAAGATAGAGTTTATTGTCAATGAAAGATGATGATACGTTTAAGAGTAATACGGAAATCCACAGGAGAGCAGACAGACATATGAGGCGTTTCTCGGTGACGATGGTTTCGTACCTCAGGGGACGTTTAATGGCAATGTACCTCTCTACGTTCAGCATGGCTAAGTGAGACAATGATGCAATACCTAATACTCTTAAAGCGATTCTCGATAATAGTAATCTTATACAGTAGGTTGGCGCGTCTCTTTGCAGTTCTGCTATCGCCGCAGAAATGAAAATTGGTTGGCCGATCACCCCCATAGCAAAATCAGTAGTCGACAAGCAGGCAAGCGCAATGTTAGACTTGGTTTTCAATCGGTGTTTCGTTTTCACAACGATTATTATCAGCGCATTTGTGGCAGCTGTAAGTGGGCAAGTAATGATGTTTATGACAGCAATGAAGACAATCCAACCATAAGCTTCTGGGGTAGTTTGATCGAAAGTTCCTTGTGGTATGTACTGAACACATCCATGAACTGTGCTAGCTGTGTCTGAGGCAGAACTGGAATTCATACCTTACAGTTGGTTTTGCTTCGTTGTATTTGTAGCTATGACAGGACTGCCTATAGGGTTGAAGATCTATAAATCGCTTTTAACTATTTTGAAGGATTACTTTTTCTCTCTTCATGTTCATAATCACGGCACATTATTGGCGGAGAATTGCTCTTCTGAAGAGCTTGTTCGCCACTAATGGAAGGATTTCCACAGTATTAACAGAAATATGTTTTCAATAGCATCAAAGCTAAGATTCATCAATCCAGGTGGACAGGAAATCACAGCGAATTTTTTTTAAATTAAAAAAAGTTAGTAATCTCAACGCCAACGAAGCAATTATAAATTTCAAAGTGAAGCTTATCATAAACACAGCTTTCCTGAAATTTGTAACTTTAAGTTGGCACGTGTCGCTAGCCGTTAAGTTAAGTGATAACAAAGCTTTTTCTTTTTTATCAGCCGCTGCTAGATTTTATATTAAAGGGTTTTTTTTAAGTAGAGAATCAACGCTAAAGCAGTTAAAAAAAACCTTAAATTAAAAGACCTCTTAATTTTTACTTGATATTTGGCTGACTTTGAAATTGTTACGAACGAGCCAGATAAGGCCATGAATACACGGCCAAAATAGTCCAAACCACCCTTTCCTTAAAGACATGTCAGTACCATTAGATTGCAAGCGAAAAAAAAATGCACCATCGTCCCCCCCCCCCCCCCAAAAAAAAAAAAAAAAAAAAAACCTTACAAATAATACACCCAACAAAATCCTAATTATGGTAGTTTAATTGTGTAGGACGCCCTGTTTGCGACCACACTCTGACTTATTTACAAACTATAAAAAAAATTTCATAGAGTCTTGCAATCATATAACATCAATAGAAACCATAAACAACATAAA